GAAGGAAGGAAGGAAAGAAGGAAGGAAGGACTGGTATATCCTTTAGCCCCTCAGTATCCAGTCAACCTGGAAGGAAGCCAACAGGGTGAGTCCCACAAGATGAGCCACATGTGTAGAATGATTAAGAATCACAGAGAGTCACTGGGCCGGCACCTGACACCTTACAATAGCCCCACCACTGTGGAGGCCTCAGATGCAAGAGGCCCTTGAAAATGCAAAACTGTGGGAAGTACTTCATTCTGAAAGCACAGACTTCTTGTAATTAGGTGGGGAAGGGTTCATGGGGTGTGGTGGATTGACAACGGGCAACACCCAGCTGAACTGAACCAGCATGGTGCTGGGTGTGAAGGGCCTACCTGAGGGTTGTTGCCAACAACACAAAAAGCAGATCTGGAGAGGAAGAGCGGGGAGTTGTTGGCAGTCCTGGAGGGACTTGTCCTGCTGGCTTTCCTGATACGAATACGTCTATTGTCATCATTGGAGTGCAGGACCTCACTGCCACTGAGGAAGGCTGTGGTACCTCTGGGGGAATTCTGGTGCTTACTTTGAGCATTGCTTCCTGGCTCCAGGGCAGATCCCTCAGCTTGCTAACGCAGATCCTTCACCCCGCTGGCACAGACTTTCTGGCGTCCATCACTGCCCTTGGGGCTTTTCCAGCACCGATCTGTGAAGCAGGCCTGCATGAGACATTATTGTGGGTTCTAGGCCTCTGGTTGGACTCATGCAGGACATTACTGTTTCAGGCCCTTAGCTGGATTCTTTGGGTCTTTAGTGTGTGGACAGATTTTCTGCAATCTTTTGTGCTTGACTCTTTGGGTGACTATTATAAAATAGTCCTATAAATTATATGTCCTAGAATTGGAGAGCTAGCTCCACAGTCTAAACGCCTGCCTAAGCAGGTTCAATCCGCATGCCATGCCAGCCCTGGAACCCCAGGCACGCTGTGCCAGCCAAGGAAACCAAGCGCGGTGGTACACACATGTAACCCCAGAGCTGGGAAGGCTGAGACAGGAGGATCGCTACAAGTCCAAGCTGTGTAGTGAGACCCTGTACCAAATAAATAAAAGACTTTTTAAAAATTAATTATATGTCCTGTATTAAATTGTTTTCCTGGTAAACCCTGACTACAGCACGGGAGGGTGTGAGGGGTCAGCTATCATGCATGACTGGGGAGAGAGCAGCAGAGAATAAGAGTCCAGTCGTTGCCAGAGCAACAGATCCCAGTGAGGGAGAGCGACTAAGTTCTATCTCCATGGAGATTGTGCAGTCTGAACACCAACATTACTAATATTGGACGCATCCCAAAGGCCAGACGAAGTCAGGAGGTCCGCCAGAGTTTACGTTGACAATGCTTTTACCCTTCATTTGAGACCCCAAGAAGCAGCCCACTCTGAGACCTGGGCCTAGAATTTCAGGGCCGGGAAATAGGGGTTGAGCTGGGGGAGCAGACGGCGGTCAGTGACCTCGCAAGTCCCTGTGCCCCAGGCCCCAACCCATGACGCCTAAGAAGAAGCGTGGGCCGAGCTCCGGGCACCGAGCAGCGGGCGAGGGCGCTGAGCCGGCGCTAACAGAGCGCACGCTGTACCTGCAGCGCGAGTACACGCTACTCTCGGCGCAGCTGGAGGCCTGTGAGGAGCGCGTGGACCGGGTGCTGCGAGAAAACGCCTTCTTGGACAGCGAGGCGCAGCGCCTGCGCGAGGAGAACCGGCTTTACGCCAGCTACGTGAGCGCGCACGCGCAGCGCTCTGCCCAAGCCATAGTGGGGCTGGACGAACAGAACCGCGTGGACTTGGCGCAGATACACGAGCAGCGGGCCGAGCTTGCTTCACTCTACCGCGAGCGCCAGAACGGGGTTCGCGCGCAGCTGCTGGATATGGAGGCGCGCGCGGCTCAGATGGTGCAGCAGGTGCAGGAGCTGCAACCCTACCAGGCCAGTACGCGCGCGCTCCTGGATCGGGCGGGACTGGGAGCGGGCTTGCCGCACCCCCGCGCTGACCCAGGCCTGGTTGCAGGAGCTGCAGCTGGAACAGCTGGCGCGGATCCGGGCGCTGGAGCGCGAGCTGCTACACATGCGCGTGGAGCACACACAGCACCTGCATCGCGCAAAGCGGCGCTTCTTGGAGGACAAGGACGCCTTCGAGCGCGAGGCGCGCCAGAGCGTGCAATCCCTGGCGCGGCGCGCGGAGCGGGATGCGGCGCGCGCGCTCATCGCGCACACACAGGCCATCAAGGCGGACAATGGTCGCCTGCGGCAGGAGCTGCTGCGCCTGCTCCATCGGACCCAGCTACTGCGCGACACGAGACACCAGCTGCTTCAGCAGCGTGAGCAACTGCGGCGCGAGCATGAGGATACGAGGAACCTGTCGCGCGTGCACAGCTGGCTGCTGAGGGGATTCCGGGGCCCACCGCTCTGGCAGCCGCCCGCTCCCTCCCAGCCCTCTACGCGCCCTGGATCCTTAGCTTCCAAAAGCCCCTCCCGTGCGGCCTCCAGGGCCCCATCCATGGCCCTGTCACGCGCAGTCTCCCAGGTACCATGGATGGTCTCCTCAAGAACAGCCTCCAGGGTTCCCTCCTTGCGGTCGCGCGCTACTTCTCAGGTCCAGACCTTGGTACCATCTCTAGCTGCGTTGCAGGGGGCCTCTGCGTCCCTGGTTCCATCCCACCCCGTCTCCCGGGTCCCATCCCTGAGCCGGTCAAGTTCAGGCCTCCAGGTAGAATCCCTGACCCACTTGTCGAGCTCCAGGACTTTGTTATCGCCAAAGCAGTCACAAGAGAGCTCTGAGAACTCTCCAAAGCCCTCTTTTCCTGATACCTCACAGAACACTCTCTCCTCTGTAAAGTCCGGCCCCAAAGCTTCTCTTAGCCCACACTCAGAGGATGTGGATTCTGTTGCTACATCAGAGGTTGCCCTGGGGCAAGTCTGAACCCCTCCTGAAGGCCCAGGTTGGGGAGACCAGCACAGTGTGTCCTGGTTCCTGTGAGTGTTAATAAAGGTATGGCCCCCATGCTGCTACTTGCCTCCTTTGCTCCTGTAGCATTTCCAGAGGGCACAGTGGCACTCACGCCCACTGTGGACTCCCCAGCTGCCAGGGCCTTGGTGCCTCTTTCCCTATATGGAATTCGGCATCCATCCTGTGACAGTTGTGGACCCCAGCAAGAGCCAGAGGGTGGTGCTACATGCTAGGCAGAAGCTGGATGGTGGGACCGTGAGACCAGGTCTAAGGTCCTGCCCTGGTTCTCAGTAATTGGAGAAGTTTTGTGGCTACTTTCAGTAACATTAAAATAAACTGCACCAAGGGGGCCGGGGAGATGGCTCAGTGGAATAAGCGCTTCCCTGGCAAGCACAAGGGCCTGAGTTCAATCCCTGGTTCCACCAAATAAATAAATTAATTAATTAATTAAACTGGGCCACAGAGAGCTCAGTAGAATAAGCACTTGCCTGGCAAGCACAAGGTCCTGAGTTCAATCCCCAGTACCACAAAAAAAATATAAATTAAACTGTCCAATTTAAGAGAATGTTGCAAGAATAGTGCCAGGAGTCCCCTGAACCACCATCTAGATGTACAGCAGCATACTTTTTGCTTCTGTATTTCTGTTACTGCAGTTTTAGGCCCATAAGCCCAACTCTGGGGGTCCCAGAAGATTACACTTGGCCACCCATCCCATAATGCTAATCAAGGAAATGGGGTGAAGCAGAGTGAAGAACAGGAAAGGAGCTTTAATCAGCATGACCGTGCTGGGAGAGACATGGTAGAGGTTCAAGACTTGTCTTTGAGGTCCTGGCTGAAGCTTCGGGGTTTTATAGAAAAGGGGAACAAGCCGCATGTGAGTGCTGTGATGCTAGCATGCTAGGGGGCTGAGGCAGAGGACTGAGGCAGAGGACTGCAAGTTGGAGTCCAGCCCAAGACTTAATAAGACCCTGTCTCCAAGGGAAAAATATAAGAAGAGCTGGGGAAGGAGCTGGATGTCAAGGCCCTGGTACTGGGGGTGGGGGCTGGCAAAAAGGCAAGGGTTTTCATAGCTGGCAGCACAGCAAGAAATTCTGGTCAAGTCCTGATCTGGTTGATTAGTATCTCAGGACTGGTTCTTCAAGGTTTTGAAACAGCCTTTATTGTTGGCTTTGGTGGGGGGTTGTCATTAGAATAATGGTTCCTACATGGGAGGGCAGCCTTGGTTCACTGGGTAACAGTTTCCACTTGAGGGGTGACCTCATCATGACGTGGTCTGTGATGCGCTGCTTTTCCTGGAATCTGGTGGCAGCACGTATAGGACACTGACTGAAGACTGTGTGTGTGTGGTATTGGGGGCTGAACTCAGGACTTTGTGCTTGCCAGGCAGGCGTTGTGTTATGCCGCTGAGCTACATGCTGGGCCCCTGACTGAAGACTTTCTAAACACTGCTCCAAGGTCTGGAACTGGATCTTGTAAAAGCAACCAGTTGGCTTCTCTGCCTATCTTTACCTGGTGTCCTGGGTCTTGACAGGAAATGAACTAGACTAGGTAAACATAGGACTGATAAACTGGTTTTTGTTTCGTTTTTCCAGTATATTTGGTTGTGACACTGTGTAGGGTCTCACTGTGCAGCTTGGACTCTGGTGATGCTCCTGCTTTCAGCCTCCCCAGCTCTGGGATTACAGGTGTGCTCCACTACACCCGGACTCTGGCCAGCTCAGCCTGCCCTGGGGCCAGGGCCAGTGAGGCATGTGGTGCCCAGGATCAAACTTGCCTGAGCTTGCCTAAGCAGGCGCTTTAGTCCACTGAGCTATCTCACCGGCCCCGGGCTAATAAACTTTGGTTTTTTATTTTTATTTTCATTTTATTTTATGTATTTGGCACAGGGTCTCACTATGCAGCAGCTCAGACTCAGTGATTCTCCTGTTTTCAGCCTCCCCAGCACTGGGACAGTCCAGCTGAGCAGGGATCTGACCTAAAATTTTGAGAATTTAAATGAAACATACAAAAAAATGAAAGGAGAGATGCCAACCATCACCCTGGATTTGGTTACCTGTTGGGCATCTGCTGGCCTAGCCTTTAGATCCATTACTTGGTGTTCATGTGTGCATAATTCTGAGCTATTTGGGGTTGGGGTGGAGACTCATTCCTTAAGCCCTGTGTGGCTCCCGGACAAAAAGCTGTTCTACTTTACTGCAGTTAAAAAAAAAAAAAAAAAAAAGCAAAGCAGGAAATGCATCATGGAGAAAATACTATCATCTCAATTGTAGCTCATTCAGACTTTGTCACTTATTCCAACAGCGTCAGCGTCCTTCCAGCCTCTGCTGCTTTTCCCAGGGTCACAGCTTGCATTTCATTGACATGTCTCAATGTGCAAAACCAGTTATAACAGTGTTCTTGGACTTTGGATTTGTTTGAATTTGTCAACAATGAAGAGACCTGCCCCTTTATTGCCCACGCCGTGGGCCACGGCCCAAAGGTGCTCAGGAGATGCCTGAGGGCGGAGAAAATTCTGGTGGGCGGTGTTGGACCTGGTGGTCCCTCATGGGTTTGAGCCAGCTGTTCCGTGCACTTGGGCTCCTGAGTGGATGGCTCTCCCGGGGATACCCTAGGCCCTTGGAAGTACCAAACTTCCCTCCTAGTCCCTAGAGGAAGGTTGGAGCTGAAGAGGGAACAGTGGAGGTATCCTATCAGGCTAGTGCTAGAAGTGGTTTTTTTTTTTTTTTTTTTTATTTATGTGTGTGTATGTTTGTGGCCAGCTCAGCCCACCAGGGGGCGGGGCTGGCTGGCATGTGGTGCTGGGGGATTGAACCGCGGTCCCTGTGCTTTAGCCAAGCTTGTTCCAAGTAGGTGCTTTAGACCACTGAGCCATCTCTCCAGCCCCTAGAAGTGTTTTGCTAAGAATGATTCAAACTTTTTTTTTTTTTTAATTGGAGCTGGGAATGATGCCATGTCTGTAACTGCAGCACTGTGAAAGGCTGAGGCAGGTGGATCTCAAGTTGGAGACCAGCCAGGGCAATTGAGCAGATTTTGAAACCCTGTTTCAAAAGAGCTGGGAATGTGGACTGGTCTCAAACTGGCAGCCATCCTCCTGCTGGGATTACAGGTGTGCGCCATCATGCCTGGCTCTGTGGCCGTGACTTTCATCCCGAAGCCTCTGGGCCTCCTATGATAAAGGACCATGCCGCTCTGGTTCTCATGATAGGTATTCTTGTGAGACATACAAGGTCCACAGTGACCTAAAGGAAACACCCCACAAGACCTGTATATTGTGTCCCTCCCACAACTTCAAATTTTTATAAAACTCTTTCACCCTGGCAGTACAATTCCTTTCTTGGTAACTCACCCACTGTCCAAACAACATACTCCAGTCTACACAGATTTTTTTTTTTTTTTTTCCAAAACCGGGGATTGAACTCAGATCCTTGCATTTGCCAGTCAAGCGCTTATCCTACTGAGCCATCTCCCCGGCCCCAGATTTTTTTTTTTTTTTTTTTTTTTTTAAAGACAGGTCTCAATGTGGTTCAGGCTGGCCCTCAGCTCACTTTATAACCCATGCTGGTCTCAAATTTGCAACAGTCCTCCTGCCTCAGCCTCCCCAGTGCCGGAATCACAGGTGCGTACTACCACGCCCAGATCACATAGACTGTTGTCCTCATGGAAATGGCCATGTGACAGCAGACCCAGGGAAAATGCTGTGTGATGATGAAGCAGATGAGAACCATGTATCTTTGGGCCAAGAAGCCACAAGATGCTCCAATGTGGGGTCGATCTGGTGATCAACAGCTGATTCCTGGGGTCAGCTCAGGCAAACAAACAGCTCATAAGAATGCAGAGTGAATGGCATGGGCCAAGAACGAGACAGGGAACAGGTGTGAAGCTGGCCAGGGCCACTGATGGCAGCAGCCCTCTTCCCTGTGCATGGGCATCTGGCACCACCACAGTTCAGAGATCATCTTGCAGTGAGGGGCAGTGATGCAAGTTTTACTCTTTGCTATTTTCTAGATAGGTGTACTGTATTTAGTATAAGGCTGCTTCAGAATAGCCCAGCTACATGGGTGAGGCCGAGGTCCAAGGTGCCTGAGACCAAAGAAAGGCAGACAGATCCAGGGTCACAATTTTTTGTGGGACTCAGTGATGGAAGCATGGTCCTGGATAGGGCAGGACAGGGGATCCCATGATTTGGGTCCAAAATAGGGACATATGTATTACAAAATTCACTTGGGGCCTAAGTACAACTGTTTACCCATCTCATTCCTGGCACCAAGGGAGTCAGGGTCCAGCTGCAAAGCTCCACGTACCACCCTATAGGTAATTGGGACTGGGTGTGGAGTTACAGCTTGGGACACATCTCTCTAACACAAGTTGTACCAGCTCTTTTCTGAACAATAGTTCCCTGATTCGTCAGACCTGAACTTCATTCCACCCAGTCTTGTCTTTGTGTTAGACAAATCGGACCCTAGGGTTTTCTGGTGAGGAAGCTGGATGTGTCTGAGAGGCAGTGGCTTAGGTAAGACCCTGTGGGCTGGTTTTCTGGTCTGGTCAGCCTGGTGGGCATGTGACAGTCCACAGCGGAGGCAGCCCCCACCAGCCCCAGGACCAAAGGAACCGGGGACCAACAGCTCAGCCCAGGGCCAGGGCAGCAGCCTCTGGGGAAGCGGCTCAGTATCCGTCACATATGCCCAAGGGCTGGATTTTGTTTGTATGGTTAGAATAAAAAATAATCAGGGAAACAGTCTTAGATTTGTATTTGTGCACTAAATGTACATGGTCACATGCATGGAGCCACCCAGAAACCAGAGCAGCTCCTGTCAGTCTCACTAAGGTGTTGGGGGTGGGCAGGGAGATGGTGCAGAGCACTCTGGTGCCTTTGAGACATCTCTCCTCCCGGATTTACTAAGTCTACAAAAGCTGCTCCCTATCTCACGTACTAAGGGACCAAGCTCAGGTCCCCTTGGGAAGTCCTGGAACCAACAGAAGACCCTGGTCAGGGCCAGGGTCCCCAGTGCTGCACAGCACACAGGCTGTGGGGTGCCTGATGGGTACCAAAGCCAGGCCTGTGTTCTGCACGGTCTGCTGGTGCCAGACACTGCAATCTTTCCTGTTACTTTTTAAATTGCTTTTTAGGATTACTTCCTCTCCTCCTACAGAGGGAGTTGAATCACATGCAGTTTCCCACACTGCAGTAAGTTATAGTGGAGCCCAAGGGCTGTGGTGGACACTGGGAACCACGTAGGATGATCCGGCTACACATGGGCTGACCAGACCCAGCATCTTTTGAAACATCCAGGGTAGGCATGGTTGGAGTCCAGTGGGCATCCTGTCTTCCCAACCCCTCTCTGACAAGAACAGCCCCCCACCCTGACAATGGGACCTTCTGTGGACTACTATGTGGCTGCCTGTGGCACAGAACCAGCCTAGCCCATTAGAAAGCTCTCCTAAAAGTTCTCAGCAGGGAACACATTTGTTTTCCCTCCAGAACTAGGGATTGGATCCAGGGTCTCTTGTCTGACAGGAGAACACTACCACTGAATTACATGCCTGGTCCTTTTAAATTTTTTTAAGATGGGATCTTACTAAATAGCTCATACTGGCCTGCAACTTGTAATCCTACTGCCTCAGCCTCCCGAGTAGATGGGATTACAGAAGAACACCGCTGTGTACTGTACTGGCACTGTAACATTAGTGAGCAGCTTCTGAGGCTGAAGGTGCCTTGGCTCATGGTTCTGGAGGTTGCTCGCCTTTGCCTGGGTTGGCACACGGGAACATCCCAGCACTGCAGTGAGGTCGGATGTCACATTCCCTTTACCAGGGGACATGTGGGCAGCATAGAGAGGAGGAGAGGAGCATGGAGGGGGTCCCGTCTCCCATCATCCCTATTTTGCCATTGCAACTGCATCTCAGGCTTCTCTGGTCTGAAGAGATGGCCTGAGTAAAGATGCTACCTCAAGTCTAAATCCAATATGGCTCCATCATTAGGCTATTCTGGAGTCAGACGTTTTAATACCATTGTTTAAAATCTACACATTCCAGCCAGGTCTGTGGTTTACACCTGTAATCCTAGCACTTGGGAAGCAGAGGCTGGAGGATTACCATGGGAACAAGGCCAGCCTGGGCTACATAGTGAGTTCAAGACCAGTCTGAACTACGAAGTGAGACCCTGCCTCAAAAACCAAAATCCTACCCATTCCAAGTTTCCCAAAATGTTTCGCTTAGTAGGCCCATGACTGAGGTCCCAAGAAGCCATATATAGGGACAACATAAAGTGAAATACTGGTGCCAGCCTTGTCCTCAGAAACGCAGCTGTCATCTCCCCCAGGGGACCCACCAGATCCCTCCAGCACCAGGACAGCCTGGTAGCTCACAGTGCATTGCAACCAGAATGCACCTCCAGATACCAATCGATCTGGCATTTAGCTCCCCAGGAGACGCATCCGTCCACAACACTGTTCTCTTCCGAGCACCATGGACTCCTCTGGGGCAAGGTCCTCAGTGAGCACCACAGGGCCCTTATTGTCTTAGAGCTCTCTGCCACACCTGCTACCACCTAGTGGTTCAGTGGGGGCATATGCGTGGAACACAGTTGCCCTGGCCAGGCAGTGAGTTGCCTGGGGACATGGTGGACTCCAGATCACAGATTCAGCTCTGCCACCTATTGGTCTGCCTGGGACAGCCATCTCCACAAATTGTCCTCCTCCATCCCCCGCCATGGAGATGCAGAGCAAAGCCATGGCTGCTCAGCAGGCTCCCTGGGGAGGGGGAGGCACCTGGCCAGGCTCCCCTCAAAAGGTGGTGCCTAAAGGACATGTGCCAGAAGACATCACCTTGTCACCCTACCCTGGAGTGGACAGAGAGAACAGAGACACAGGCCACCCTAGCACCACTGTACCCATCACAGCCACCAGGCTCTACCCAGGGTTGTGTAAGGGCACCTGGGTGACATAAGGGAAAGGGCTGGCAGCGGCCTCTAGTCAGCTAGGGATACCATTGTGCCCCACCGTGTTCCCCGCCCAACTGTCCTTACCACTTCCAGAAGAATGCTAGGAAGAAAACCCGCAAGAGGCACCAGAACCCATGAAGTAGGCGAAGCATGCAGACTGGTCACACATGGCTGTCCATCCACTGGGCAAGCCTGACACCAAGCACCAGGTGGCATCCTCTGGTCAACAGATGACCATCAGATGGAACCTGGCTCAACACCAAATTTTGTGTTCATATTTAATATCATAATTGAAGACACCACAATTAAGAACCAGGTACAGGGCACCCTAGACATGGCTAGCTGATTCCATGACACTCAAAACTCAAGCCCAGCCAGCCATATGGCACATGCTTATAATCTTAGCTACTCAGGAAGCTGAGGCAGGAGGGCCAAAAAGTTCAAGGTCAGCCCAGGCAACTCAGCAAGACTATCTGAAGATAAGAAAGGCTTACAGATGTACCTCGGTACAGAGCACCCTGGGCTTGATCCACAGAACTGCAGGGGGAAAAAACCAACCTTCAATTCAGGTTGTCATCCTTGGCACCCACCACCCACAGGTATAAGGCGTTCCATTCCATGAAAGGCCTCTTTTTACCTTCCCGACTTTCTCCACTGGGCAGGACACAAACAACACGCCTGTCCAACAGCAATGGGGAGAAGAAAATATCCATCCATTTCTGCATGTCCTTGGATGACATAAGCAGAACAGCTGCCTACAGTCCCTTGGGCAGCCTGAACTGTATCTCCCTAACGCATGTATGGGGCTCTGAACCCAGTGGCATGACATGGGGGTGGAGGTGGGGGTGGGGGCCCTCCTGGGTGATTTGGCTTAGATGAAGTTACATGTGGGAAAAAAGAAAAATCAAGGTATGTACAGGTACAAATTCCTTATGATAAATATGATCACTATGTATATCTTTTTTGTTGTTGCTATGTGTATTTAAAGTGTACCAATAAAATTTTTACAAAATGAAGTTACACGGGTGGGGCCCCTCAATAAGAGACAGACACCAGCCCCATGGCCCCAGGCCACTGCTTGTAAGCCAGGAGGACCCCTCACCAGAAGGGAAGGCGCTGCAACCCTGATGTCAGACTTCAGCCTCCAGAATGGAGAAAGCTTGCTGCTCATGCCACCCAGCAGGGAGTGTTTCCCTAGGGCAGCCTGCGGAGACCGAAAAGCCTAACAGGATAGCTTCTTCTGTATGTATGTTCCTTTTCTTTCTCTTTTTTGGGCAGAACCAGGGATTGAACTCAGGCCCTTGTGCTTGCCAGGGAAGCACTTATTCCACTGAGCCATCTCCCGGCCCCCTCTTCTATATGTATGAATGAACTTAGAATAAAGAAAGCTACTGAAAATGTAAACATACTTTCCACTGCAAAGACTCTCAAACTTTCCCTTTCTTCCTTTTTATTATAATTTTAAGGCAAATCCCAGACCATGTCATCTCCCCACTAAAATTCCTCTTTTCCATGAGGAACCTACGTAATACTCACCACACCAACACAAACTCCTTGAACAAGCCCTGTTCGAATCTCCACAAATGTCTTAAAAATGCCTTGTTGGGCGTGGTGGCTCATGCCAGTAATCTCAGCACTCAGGAGGCTGAGGCAGGAGATTAGCTGCTAACTTGAGGCCAGCCTGAACTGCATAGTGAAGCCCTGACTCAAAGACTAAAATAAATTAATGAATGTGAAAAATGCCTTGTTATAACTGGTCTGTTCAAATCAGGGTCACTCGCAGTCCTACTGACTTCATGTCTCTGGTTTACTGGGAATGGGCATTTGGTAGCATCTTTCCCGGGGTCTGGTTCAGTACAGCTTGACAGGCTGAACTTCTCACTTTATTTCCTATAAACTCCTATCTAATGCCATGTGCTTTTGGTAACTGGAATCCTTAAAAAGGCAACGCAAAATCCTTCATGAGCTATACAGATAACCTGAGACAGGACAAGTACTTGGGAGTCTCGACTGCTTCCAGAATACAGAGCTGCCCAAGAGCTTTGTGGCAAACTTATTTCTGGCTGGATCAGCAGTGACACCTCAAGTTCAAGACAAAGAGGTCACCTCTTCCCCAGAAAATGCTCTGTGGTGAACTCAGCCACCTTGCGCTGTTCTAAAACCCACCCAGCTCCCAGCACTTCCTACCCAGTGCCACGTAAAGCCTACACCATGTGGGAGCTGGGCAAAGGGGGCCTATCACCTGAAGCTTCCTAAAGCACCAGGGCCCAGGGCTCAGCTGAACAATCCCAAGCTGGCTGCATCACAATGACTCGTGGCCCCATGAGGATGCAGGGCTGGTGCACAGTCCTCGCCCACATACCCAGGAGCAAGGGCTCCAGCTGCCTCCAGTCAGCACTCTGACAGCTCTGCCCTAGGGCAGAGGTCTGTGCCTAAAGTAAGAGTGCTGTTCAGATGACCCACGGGGGTCCCCACCCACCCTGGGAACAGCCTTTTCAATTACAACCTAATAAGCACACATGAAGAAGCAACGCCACTTTTCCAAACACACAACCTGAGAGTCAATTTCAGTTTGAGAAACCACACCAGAAAACAGCCCTGTAGGGACGTAGCTTTAACAAACTTGTGACTGTCCTGCACACATAGGATACTTTCCCCACACATGCAGTGCACTGTCAAACACCCTGAATGCGAGTTCAGGTCTCTCTTTCCATAGTCCTTTAAGGCTTACAACATTACAAAGGTGCTCATTTCAAAGTCCCCCCTGTGGAAGTTGCAGAAGGGTCTTTACTTCTGTGCAATTCAAAGCTGCCTTGCTTAGGCCAGATGGAAGACAAATAGGACAAAGCACAGGTGGGGAGAGAACAAGGGAAGGAAGTTAAAGTGCACAGGAGTGACACTCAGGGCGGGATTTGATTCCTCAGCAGAGAACCATGGTTGCTGGGGAGGGCAAAACACCAGCAGCTTCTGTCCACTCGCACAGGGCCGCACATAGCCTCAGGCCATTCTGGGCCCCGGCTACCCCGAAACAGCACTGTGGCTCCGCTGGTGCACTCCAGATCGCCTTCCCTTGACAGCCATTTTCCTGGTGGAACTCGGGGGACTTGGGAAGCTCTGAACAGTTGTTCCAAGGACCAAGAAGGCCTCTTTGAGAACTGTTGCCCCAACGTGTCCTTGTGGCCCAGCTTCTGGCCAGGGCACAGCCCTGCTGGACCCGGGCACCTCTATACTTCGCCATGCCCGTGGGTCCTCTGGTGCCGTGTGAAGAAGCCCAGGTGGCGAAAGCCCTTGCCACAGTGCTCGCATTCGTAGACCCTCTTGGTCAGGTGCAGCCTCTGATGGATGCTGAAGCCCTTGGGCCACCTGAAGGCCTTCCCACACTCAGAGCAGGTGTAGGGCTTCTCACCACTGTGGATCCGCTGGTGGTGGCGCAGGTTCTCCTTGGTGCGGAAGTCCTTGCTGCACACGGCACAGTGGAACGGTCTCTCGCCAGTGTGCACCAGCTGGTGACGCAACAGGTTAGACTTCTGTTTAAAGGCCTTACCACAGGCACCACACTCATAGGGCCGGTGCCCCGTGTGCACCTTGCGGTGCTGCACTAGACGGTCCTTCAGGCTGAATGCCTGTCCACACAGCTCACAGCAGAAGGGCTTCTCACTCGTGTGGTTCCTCTGGTGGCGTAAAAGGTTCGAGACCCAGCGGAAGGTCTGGCCACACTCGAGGCACGAGAAGGACCTGGCACCAGAATGCACCATCTGGTGGGCTGCCAGCCGACTGTGGCAGCTCAGTACCTTCCCACATGTGCCACAGATAAACACCTGTGCTCTGGTGCCACCCTTGCGTTGCTCCCCAAGGCCTGGCTGCTGCCTGCAGGACTCACCATACACCTGTTCCTGCAGAGCCACAAGCTCATCTGCCCTCTGCCCTGAAGCAGCTCTGGGAAAGTGCGTACGACTCGTAGGGGGCGTGTTTGGGACTCTTCCCTGCAGGTGGATTTTCTCGTGAGTCCAAGTTGGCTGACGGTAGCGCCTCCTATAGCCAGCCAGCTTTCTTGTCCCTGTGGAAGACACCAACAAGTCTGCATAGGGTAGATGCCCAGGGACAGGCCGTATAGGAAAAACTACTAAATGGGGCTGGTGAGATGGCTCAGTGGTCTAAAGCACCTACTTAGAACAAGCTAAACTAAGCAAAAACACAGGGACCGCAGTTCAATCCCCCAGCACCACACGCCAGACAGCCCCGCCCCCTGGTGGGCTGAGCTGGCCACACACACAAAATGAATGAATGAATGAATGAATAAATAAAT